TTGTTCGCAAGGTCTGTTGCATTCGAAACCGTTGTTCTTCCTCTAGGCGTTGTCAGTCGGCGGATGTAAAGAGGTCTGTCATCAAATGTAGAACCAATTTGTTGCAGTATGTTTTCCCAAGTAAGAAGGCGGTTGCTTGGTACGACAAACCGTCGACCTTTTGTGGTTGCGTCCCCATTTCGATGGACTGTTATTGCTATTGGTGGCCTTTCCATCCGCTTGGTAGAAAATGCAAAGTGTAAGTCAAATGGACTAAAGCTATAGTATTTTTCGATAACGGAAACGAGTATGTCCGGGATACAAAAAATATGACTCCTGCAGTAAATTTTCATACGTTCGACACCTTAGGACATAAAAATCTGAAAGTGCCTATGAGTTTGTAAAGACGGAAATTAAGTTTGAATAAAATCAGAATATGCAAATCAAGCAGTTGAAACTTCTTTTCTCTCAGTTAGGTCACCCAGCCCAAGGTTTTCGACTTTCTTCTGTAGGGAAGCCGGACCGGTTGCCGTAGTGGTAGGAAGTTTGGTTACATTGAACAAAGGTAAATCCTACATCCAGAATGCCTTTGAAAGTGGTCTTTGCTGTTTGAGCAACTTCTAATTGCTAATGAAGTAATGTGCCGTAAAATGAACAAGCACATCAGCGGGGAAAAGGACCTTTGTTTCCAATATTTGACTAGCGTATAAAAGTTGAGAACGATAACCCGGAATTCTTTTTCGTGCCTTGCCCTCTCCTTATAGCTGTCTATTATGACTTTTTTGCGAGCTCCAACGATCGGTGATCTGCCCATGTACACACGGTATAAACTACTGAATTTATGATCATGGTGCACGCAAGACCTCCGTACGACAAGTTGAATTTTCTGTTGAGAGGGTACAAGGCTGCAAGCTGACCCAAGTTTCGGCTTCGGATTTGCCCTAATAAAGAGAGCGGACTTGAGCGAGCATAACGCGTGTATCTTGAATTTAGTAGGAACGTGGATAAACGGCGCATCTACTGTTCTGGAGCAAGAGAAATAATTCCACATAGTTTCCAGCAGCTTTGTAGGTCCCAGGTAATATTGAGCAGGCCAGCACACTCTCAGATACAGAAAATTGCCGAAGTTTGAGCTTACGTGTTAATTTTCTTAAGGGAGACAGAGATCATTAAAGCTGTCGACTTGGCGATCTCATTTCATGCGTAAACCATCGCTTTAGGTTGGTCAGGGAACAATTGAAGAAAATATCCGCCCTGGAAGGAAGTCGGCAAAGATTTTAGGGTTTACATTAACGGTCTAACGACGAAAAGTGTGCAAAACTCTTTGGTAACCCATTTGCCATTGTGTTCCCCACCCGATGTCGCTTTTTTTCGAGTAAACTGCTCAAATACCTAACGGTGGGCATAGGCGTGAGCCGACTTATACGTCGGGGCTATAGGCATAACCATGCAGATATCGAGCATTTGAACCCCTGATTGACTTAATATCCAAAAAATCCCAGATAATGCAGGCAAGCCCACTTCGAGATTAACAGTTCACTGTTTTTCAACATAATGAAGTAGCTTATATGGGACGGACGTAGGAGGACTACTTTAGTCTATATTAAATTCTATGTAATCCCAGCCCCACCAATCCATTCGACATTTATGGCCGTGCCTCTGTTGTAGTTCACAGGTTTTTGGCAGTAATCAATCCAGGGTTATACATTCGTGTCTACTATGATTCAGACGCGCAAGATAATAAACCTATTTAGTTCATTAACAGACTGAGGTCATGTGGCTGAGAAGCCCTAACTGTTGGAGACTTAAATATCCTGTTGGTTTCCGAAGAGATCTAAATCATGAGCGATGGTGACAATACTGACTGCGCCCAATTGCGCACTTGTATGTAGGTACGCCTCGTAAATCAATCCGTTGTTTTCCAAGTGCGTCTGAAAAATAAATACTCCTGTCTCAGCCTCTTGTTTTTACTTAGTAGCAGAGGGTGGCTATTAGCGCGGTGAGTCCACACTGCATCGAGGTCAGCACGCTGCTCTGTACTTCTGCATCAGTGCTGTTAATCAGGTTCCCTAATATGTGCTTCCTCAAGGATATCGATCAGCATTAGACCCGATAGGAATTTTTCTGAAGTCCTAGAAAATACGTCTCCATTAAAATGCCTCGACGGTCTGTGAGTATTCAAGCATGAAATTCATGCAAAAATAAGCGTCATGCCGCTTTGAGAATGTTACTCTTGCGGTTATACAGCAGGTGAAAACATTATGAAATTTTTAAAGATTTCAGTAGAGTAAGAAATTGTCTGCACTCCGGTATGATAGAATTGGATGCGGTGAGATAGAAGAATAATTGCATCCTCTAAAATACAACCAGAAAATTTTGATATTATGTAAAGAACAGTCAGTAGCATCTGCATCGAGAAGAGTGTCGTACCTCCCAAAGCTTTTCGCTGCGATTGAAACCGTGAACAAAAGGTTAGACAATGGAGACAATGACGAGGATATTTAAGGTCTCAATGAGGTCTTCGATGTAGCCAACTGGCGATTAGTCGAAAAAATATCCCATGATTGCTGAATATGGACTTTTTTTCATGTGTCACAGTCGCCACGCTAGTTCATAAGAATCTTTGCTAGACTACTTTATTTGCGACGTTGTACGCAGTTTGATTCCTGTTATAAGGGATTACGTAGGTGGTGTCTTCATATGCAATACCACGTAGTGAAATCCCAAGATTTTTCATTCAGGTCATGGGGCGGGCTTTTGAGCAAGCTTTTAAAGCCGCCTTAAAACAACACCCTGTGAAAATGATAACTAAATATGTAAGTATGCATTTTTGAAATTAATTTTCAATATTGTTTTATAGGGGTTCAACGTTGTGTGATTCTTTAAGATGGAGAAATTGCCATTTAAAAAATATCTTAAATTTCCGTTCACTAGTGCCCCTAATACATTATATGACGTGGTTCGTTTACAAGATCAAAATTAATAAACACTGTGTATTTTAAAATGAAAATGGTAAGCTTTTATTTTTTGCACCCTTGGCTTTTGTATAGGTCAAACATTTTAAGATGTTTTTGGAACCAGATACTACCCCTCCTAAGAAGTAAACTTTAAAAAGTTGCACAGCACTAGAAAGCTCATAAAAATGAAAGTTTGGTACATATTATCTACAAAATATATTAAAACATAGAAGGATGCCGTGATAAATGGCAAAATCCATGTTATTTATGTTGTCGATTTTTGATAAGCATCGTTTTGTAGGGGTTCAACAAGCAGGGCATTCAAATGTCCGCATCTTATCACGATCGAGACCGTATGGGACTATGCTGCAAGACAATAAATATAACGAGCTCGGAAAAGTAATCACTTCTAATTAAAATCACGTCGCAAAATTTCGGTTAACATTTCATAAAACAACCCGCCCGTTGTGGTCATACCTGAGGCAAGTATCATTTTTAACTGAAAATTTGACATTTAACAACATTTATTTGGACTCTCTATAGGAGTTAACCTATGAGGGCACTGCACACAGCGTTAGCTGTCAGGGTCATCTACACGGCCAACTCTGTTAAAAATCTGAAATCGTAACTTCCGTTATTTTGCTCCCATTGAAACAATATTTACGACTTGTTGCCTATATAAACCAAAAGCACTCCATTATTCGAAGAATTCTGCAGATTCTCCTACGACAAATGACCTTTTACAACATGCAAAGTTTGTTCTACCGCATTTTTGATGCTGCAGAAACTGTGTTTACTATGTCTTGGTCAAGCTATTGAATTTTGGAAAACGTCCATATAATTTGCATTTTACTACAAGGAGAACTTAAAACAAACTTGACTTTCCGATTTTATAGCGTAAATCACCACATTTATTCCCCGACAGAAAAATACAAATACAAAAAGACTGGCTTGGTAAAGTTGACCTTTTCATCACATCGGAGATGTAATTTTTAACATTTCAAAATACTGTTAAGCTAGCCTGCTTCAAATGTAATTTACTAAATATGCTTTTATTAACTGTTAGCAGGCCTGGGTAACGATGGCCCCTAATGAAGTTGTCAAACGCCATCTTTTAAATAAGTATAATTTGAAATTGTCTTGCCATCAAAAACGTTTCTCATCTATCAGGTGGCATTAAATTTGGTATTAACCTCCAAAGCAGATTAGCTAGGAAAGTCCAAAATCCGCAAAACCTCAGAATGTTGCAAATATCAGTGGGTCGAAGACTAGACGGGGCCACAAGGGAGTGGTGCTAGCAAGTTTATTGAATGTTAATTTGTATTTGTCCTCCCCAAACCGGCATTTACTTTTTAATTTATTTTGAGCCCTCCGTCTTTGAAATGTGAGTAATCGTGCCTTTTCAGTGCTGTTTCACTGCATCCTCAGTTAGTCAAACAACATGTTTCCTCCCTTACAATTCCTGTCAGTCCTGTCTAGTCAGAAACATATACAGCACGATAGTTAATATTACAGAACTACCTAGAGCTACGCGCCACCTGCGATGTATGAGCATTCTGTAAGACAGTGACTCTATAGTAGGAAGGTAAACTTGCATTCGCTCATGCGTAAATAAGCAAGTAAAGGGGCCTTTTTCGGGCAGGACCTAATTAAAAGTATTCAGCTGAATACAGCATGCTATATAGCATGCTGTTGATTAACCGCTGACCGATCAGCAGTAAACCGGAAGGATCACACAAACAAATCAATCGTGCTTCAGGCTTTAGAAAGTATTTTGATACAGTTATCGTTGGATTTCAGAAAAACTAAACAGACCTGCAAGTTATCTTGTTAACTTACACGTTATCGTGCAAATTGAGTTTATAAGGCCGCCGTCTCCAATTTCGAAATGTTGAAGGTCACAGCTGGTGATTAAAGGTTAAGTTCACCTAAGTTGTGTGGAAATTCCCACATTATGACTGAAAAGACAGCTGGAAAACATATTTTAAACTTACTCATGATATGACCATTACATTTACATGGATAATGATTTCTTAATGGCTGACAGAATATAAATGCGTCTCAATGGCAGGGTTAGTCAGACTACAAGTTCCCACGCCACCCGCATGACGGAGTCAACATATTGGCAATGGTCGAGCTGGGGTAGGAGGGCGGGGGCGGAAGGGGAGTTCAGGTTAGACTGCAAGCGTTGTCCGCATGTTAAACACACGGAGTGCGTGGGAATGTCCTTAGGGTTACGGTACCGCTGGAAAGAGAGATTACTTGTGTCAACGGATTCCGACAAAAAGGCGCTCGGCTCGAGAGTAGAATGGCTGCTAGAGTTCTCCTTCAGTAGTTTCAGGAGAGCATATGCGTCACACTCTAGCGTCCAGCCCCTAGAATAAATTCCGTTTAAGACATCGCTGAAGGAACTGTGAATTGATGTTGATAATTTTCTTACGGGGGACACAACGAGAAATAAGCAGACCCAAAATTTCGTACAGTTTTGCAGTGCAAACATTTACATCCGAACTAAGGAAGAAATCAATCCAGTCGTAGGAATTAAGGTGTGTTAGTAATTCGGTTGAGCGAGTTGATCGGAAATTGCGGAAAAAGTTATACTTTGGGGACAAGGTTTTGTCAGTCTCGAATTCCAACGTTGAAACAACTATGTCATGGTCTTAGCCCACGAGTGGACCTAGAGATGACACCGGCGATGGCATGCAGCCTCTACAAAAAATTAGGTCAAGTATGCTTGATCCTCGGGTTGAAAAATCGACGACCTGAGTCCACATCCCAACATCCACAGCCTCAAGAAAGTCTTCGAACTTTCTGGGGCCTGAAGGCGGAGACCAGCGGACTTCAGGGAGATTAAAGTCGCCCGCAACCAATTGATACTTAAAGCTTAAGTCGGCCGCAGCATGAAATGCCTGTGAGAGTAAACGATCGCAATTTTCGTTGGCGTTGGGAGGGCGATAGACACAGCCAACGAGTAAGGAGAACTTATCTTAAGAGCAACCTGGAGCCAGCAGCTCCCTTCTACTGCGGAAAAATGCGAAAGGTCAAGCGGCAAAATTGTAAGTGTTTGCTTGACATAGTCGTAGCTGCCCCCACCACGGCTATCTTGGCGATCATTTCGAATGCAATTATAGCCTAGAAGCGAGAGTTCGGGGTCAGCTACGGAGGCTGATGCCCATGTCTCAGTTACTAAAACAATATCTGGACAATGGACGAGCACCAGAGTCTGAAGCAAAGGCACCTTATTAAGCAAGGATCTGGCATTTAAAATAAAAATTTTGAAGGGAAAGGCTGTTTGCTTCTGAGGGAGGTGGACTACATCGTCCATTGTTGGTCTTCCCACGGAGCAAACGGTCCGGATGTAACCATCCGGTTCTGCAAAAATTTTGGTGGCATCAAAAAATTCTGACGTGGATAAAAAGGGGTAGGATTTGGGGGAGGGAATGACGGGCAGGTAGACTGGTAACCATTGATAGCTTACTCATTTTCGGCTGGAGATCCACGGGCCAGATACTGCAACACACTCCCGCCGGAACGAAACTGAGGATCGGATGAGTTAACTGATCCAGCATGGACACTAGCATGAGGAATACATTGGTAAAACGGCCGTGGAGGAAACAAGTTAGGCGGTTGAGGACTCATTGCTTCCATTGGAGCAAGAGCTCTATTTAACGGCTGGAAAATCGGCATATTCGGTCTAACTGCCTCGAAATGAAGGCTGGGGGGCAGTTGGGAACACGCTACGTTTTGGGTCGGGCTGTTTGAGGCACTGTTAGCCGATTGTGGAGGAAAAGATTTTATAATGGTGCTGGATTTATCGGGTGTCCGAGTGGCTGAGACAGCAATTGGATTTGCCTTTGACTTAGGCACATGCTTAAGCTTACTAGGGGTTGCTGGGGGAGTCGTTAGGGACATTTGTATACCAGGCGTGTTGTTGCTTCAAAAGATCTCAACATAAATAATAGTCAAATTCCCTACGGTATTGACTATGTCGTGACGTGCAGAGGCCGCAGATAGAGTTGTAAAGGACTTATTCAAACTGACAGTAGATGTCATTATCCTGGTGTTGGTTTTTGCCGATTTTAATTTATCCAGTCTTCGCTGCAGCGGTATGAGGTCTGGCGAAACGGAGCAGTGCCATTTACGTCAGAAATCTCTAGTTATCTCCCTCCTCGACAAGATAAAATCGACTTCTATCGTGGAGAAAAGGGTAACTAGTATCGGCGCATTACGCGAACGCAGTCGTTGAGCTTGTGCGACACTAAAACTCAAGCCACAACGTTCTGGGAACAAATGCGCCCCCTCCATAGCAGATAAGTGGCTCGGAATGTTTCTCAGTACGAAATTATGCTTGCGTTCATTTCACTCCTCAGTTTCAGAACTTATTACCCCAATAAGTTTAAAAGCTTGTTCACTTACTTTGTCTGAAGTACTGCTAATGTCGCCATATAACAACTGATCGAGTATTTCGTCGGCTGATGGCCTGCTACGACTAGCAGAAGCGTATTTTTGGACGATTGAAGGGTCAAGAGGTTCTACATGTACTAAAGGGATTTGTGAGTTAACCTCATCTGCAGAAGTCGAAGAACATATGCTGGCAACTGCTATGCCTTCGGTGGCTGGTTCGGTGCCTTCCAGGACTGGTTCGACGACAACGACGCCGCCATCAGAAATCTGCTAGCTGAGAAGGACCGCCTACAGAAAGCCTACGTAGATCACCCCACTGAATACAACAAAGCTGCCTTCTACCGCAGTCGCCGCCAACTGCAGCAACGTCTGCACGAGTTGCAGGACGCCTGGACTGCTCGCAAAGGTGAGGAGATCCAAGGCTACGCGGACCGCAACGAATGGAAGAACTTCTTCTCTGCGATAAAAGCTGTCTACAGCCCGCCGACGAAGGGCACTGCTCCTCTTCTCAGCGCCGATGACAGCACTCTCCTGACTGAGAAGACACAAATCCTACAGCGATGGGCCGAGCATTTTCGAGGCGTCCTCGATCACCCCTCTTCCATCTCCGACGCCACTATCGACCGCCTGCCGCAAATGGAGACCAACGTGGACCTCGACCTCACGCTATCTCTCCAGGAGACCATCAGGGCAGTGCAGCAGCTCTCCAGCGGTAAGCACCCGGATCGGATGCGATCCCTGCTGAGGTCTACAAGCACGGAGGTCCCCAACTGATGGATCACCTGACTGCGCTCTTCCAAGAGATGTGGCGTCAAGGTGAAGTCCCGCAAGATTTCAAAGACGCAACCATCGTGCATCTCTTCAAGCGCAAAGGGAATCGCCAAGTCTGCGACAATCACCGCGGCATCTCCCTGCTGAACATCGCCGGGAAGATCTTCGCACAAATCCTTCTCAACCGCCTCAATAACCATCTGGAACAGGGCCTTCTGTCGGAAAGCCAATGCGGCTTCCGTCGTCATCGTGGGACCACGGATATGATCTTCGCCGCCCGTCAACTTCAGGAGAAGTGTCAGGAGATGCGGACCCACCTGTACTCTACCTTCGTGGACCTGACGAAAGCCTTCGACACGGTGAATCGTGAAGGACTGTGGAAGATCATGCAGAAATTCGGCTGTCCGGAGCGATTCACTCAGATGGTGCGTCAGCTGCACGACGGTATGATGGCGCGAGTCATGGACAACGGAGCCGTCTCAGAGGCATTCGCAGTGACCAACGGAGTGAAGCAAGGAAGCGTGCTGGCACCAACCCTCTTCAGTCTTATGTTCTCTGCCATGCTGATGGACGCCTACCGCGACGAACGTCCCGGGTTCCGCATCGCCTACATGACGGACGATCACCTGCTGAATCAACGACGGATGCACTTTCAATCGCGCGTATCCACAACCACCGTTCACGCACTCCTCTTCGGCGACGACTGCGCCCTCAACGCCACCTCGGAAGAGGAGATGCAACGGAGCATGGACCTGTTCTCCGCCGCCTGCGAGAACTTCGGTCTGGTCATTAACATGCAGAAGACGGTGGTGATGCACCAACCGCCACCCGTCTCAGCCACACCCCGGACGCGCCGCAAATTAACGTGAATGGGGCCGAACTGCAAGTGGTGGATATCTTCCCATACCTGGGCAGCACCCTCTCCCGCAACACCAAGATCGATGACGAAGTCGCCAACAGGATCTCGAAAGCCAGTCAAGCCTTCGGTCGCCTCCAAAGCACAGTTTGGAATCGTCCCGGTCTTCAACTGAACACGAAGCTGAAGATGTACAAGGCCGTCATCCTGCCGACGCTACTGTAGGCAGCAGAGACCTGGACGGGGTACACGAGACAGGTACGCCGACTGAACCACTTCCATCTTAGTTGTCTTCGTCGCATCCTGAAGCTGAACTGGCAGGATCGCATCCCCGACACTGATGTGCTGGAACGTACGGGAATCTTCAGCATCTACTCCATGCTGAGACAAATGCAGCTGCGCTGGAGCGGCCACCTGGTGCGCATGGATGACGAGCGACTACCCAAACAACTCTTCTACGAAGACGTCACGATAAGTTCTCGCCGCCATGGTGGTCAAATTCGTCGATACAAGGACACACTGAAGTCCTACCTGAAGCGACTGCAAATCAACCCGACCAACTGGGAAGAGCTCGCCCGCGATCGTCCGACATGGAGGAGAACAGTGAAGACGGGCGCTGCTATCTATGAAGCCAACCTCATCTCCGCTGCCAAAGAGAAACGCGAAGTCCGCAAATCCCAACTGCGCTTAGTCCTCAACGCCGACGCACAACCGCCTCCAACGTATCCTCGATGCCAACGGACATTCCGGGCTCGAATCGGCCTCGTTGAACGTCTTCAAATCAACTCAATTTTTGCATTCAGAAAAGCTTCCTTAACTTTTGGGTTCTGAATCCACTGATCGACTCTACCGTAGCGATGGCGTTTGTGGTCTTTGATCACTATGGCCGGTCTCACCACCTGTTCCTCAACGCCTCTACTTTGACTATCCCCAACTTCATGAAAGGAATTGACGTCCGATAATCTCCGATATCGTGCAACCCCCCCCCCCCCCCCCCTTCTTGAAGGTCGAAAATCTACCGCCAGCAGTTTTTTTTCTCCTGAACCCTCCAAACCATAAAAATCACCATCAAATATAGATAGATAGATAGATAGATAATTTTTATTAAAGACCCGTCGGGGTCCCATCAAAGCAAGTTAAAATAAATTTGCATGCCAGTTTTAGACGAGGTAGGCTGAATCTTTACAAAATGCAATTCATAGTTTCTGAATTAGAAGTCCATTGAGAAACATGATGATTGAGGGATGAAAAAAAAACTCCTCGGAAAAAGTTAAAAATGATTGGATTAATTTTACAGGAGAAAAAAACCCCTCTTTAAAAATAATAACAGAAAAAAGCGAGCAGGACTGGCCTGTAGGTGGCGGTATATAACGGAATGTTTTCGGTCATCGTCAGGGTATCAATAAATGTCCGCCTTGATGGGTACCAATGTGGGTCAGACAGGACTGGCTTGCATATGGCCTTGTATACGGGATTCACAATTGAGATCGTCTGGGCCCGATTGGTACGCCGCGTCAAAGAGGCCAGACAAGAGGAACCGAGATGCGATCGGCCACAGCACGCTTCGAGCTCAGCCGAGCAGTGAGGAAGGGAGGTACGACCGAACTTCTAGTAGACAGTGAATACTGAGGGTTCCGCCGTGAGCGTCGACAGACCGCATGAGGTCGGAATGCGGGAGATGACATCAAAAACCGCGAAAATTGTCGCTATGGGGGGAAGGATAGCGATGGATTTAGAAACCAATTAAAAACAGGGGTTTCTAATGATATAATTAAGAGTTACCACTTAATTTACCACTAAATCCCAGGAGGACCCTTCTCGAAGTCAAGAATCTGAGTGTTCGGGAATGAGACCGTTAACAGTGCCTTTATGCTTTCCGGTGTAAGATGGTTGCGTAATTTCGACTTGAATATCAGTAACTTAGGCGATAATCTAATTTCAGGCGGAAGACTATTCCAAAGGAAGGCATATTTGCAAGCAAAGAAGAGGGAGCGCTTAGATGTAGTACAAAGAGCCGGCGGAATCACCATGCAGGATTTGCGCGTGGCATAAGACCGATCTCTCGGAGTGAGAGTGTCAATGTGCGGAAGACTGGAGCTAGAGTTGATGCGAAAAAGGAAGCAAAGGCCAGCTTTGAATCTTCTTACCCACAAAAACTTCATGTTCGCCAGCTGACATCTCTGAGTATAAGAAATACTGGACGAAGCTTGAGAGAACAGTTTCCGGGTGAAAACCCTCTGAACATTTTCGATTTTATTACGGTCGCAGGCGTTCATTAAACCGAAGAAAGGACAGCAATATTCGAGGACTGGAAGAACAAACATTTGATAAAGTCTTAGCTTCATTTCCGGAAGGAAGAAATTATGCGATATGAATCCACATATCTGCGCGGCTTTGGCAGAGATTCTATCTGCATGAGGTGATAAAGCAAGTTTATTTGTATAACTTAGACCTAGGTCCTTTATGGTGTGGCATTCTGAGAGTGGGTTATTCTGAAAAATTATGGGACCAGGAAGTATATTTTTATTCTTCTGGAGTTTTTTTCACTGCTGGTCGGATTTGTGCTTAATCGCTTCCCTTGACAATGCCTGTAAACTGGCATTTAATAAATTAAATTAAATTTAAATTAAATTCAATTAAATTAAACTGTACCTCTTGGACCACAACATCAGCCGTCCCTCCGCCCGTCTCTTCCTCATCCTCTTTGCAACCGAATAACTCTGTGAATTCTTCTGAACCACCACTTCCATCCTCCTCCTCCTCCTCCTCCTCCTCCTCCTGTCACTCACGCGACAACCGACACCACACTCACTGCCTTTGACTCCAGCGATGAGGATCGGGACTACACCTGCCCTCACTGAGCCCGCACCTTCACCTCACACAATGGCCTGGTCGGTCACTTGCAAATCCATCGCACAGAGACTGGCGAACCAGTGCCTGGAGCACCAATCTACACTCACCGCACTCGTCTCCACTGCTTACAATGCCCTCGCACCTTCACGCTTCGCATGGGTCTATTCGGCCACATGCGCATTCACGAGAGAGGAACTGACCTCAATACCGACTCACCCATCATGCCAAACCCCGCGACCACTTCATCACCCTGCGCCTACACCGCCCTTCCCGCAACTGACACCGGCACCACCGAATTCACCTGCCCACGCTATCCACAATGCATCGCACAGAGACTGGCGAATCAGTGCCTGGGGCACCAACCTATTCCCACCTCACTCGACTCCACTGCCCACACTGCCCTCGCATCTTCAGGCATCGCATAGGCCTATTCGGCCACATGCGCATCCACGACGGACTGCAGTAGACAACCGCCGGTTACACCACACATCCACACACTCCCTACCCTCCTGCACGATCACCACCTCACATCAAAACTCACTCACCCCATGCACCAACTGCCACCTTCCACGCAAGTGGGAAGTGTGCATCTTGACTCGGTTCCCATGCGGCTTTGGCTGCACGAGTGACTTGAGTCCGAGACTATCCCGACACGTCAGGTGTCGAGGATAGGAATGTTGCTGATTGACGCCCGCTCTCGGTCCACACAGTTCGTCGCGTTGTGTGGAGTGGCGGACTAGTGGGCTGGGAACGGGCTGAATCTGCACCTTCCACGGTCCTCTCACGCAAGTGAGAGTCACGCCGTTCGACCCCCGTTGTGTGAAATAGATAGATAGATAGATAATTTTTATTAAAGACCCGTCGGGGTCCCATCAAAGCAAGTTAAAATAAATTTGCATGCGAGTTTTAGACGAGGTAGGCTGAATCTTTACAAAATGCAATTCATAGTTTCTGAATTAGAAG